TTCCCCCCCCACACACACACACACACATGCACAGTTACACACTCATAGAGCTTCTCCAGCCACTGGAGAGGCGATGGAACAAGAAGCACGCCTCCGTAGAGGAATCAACAGGCAATGTTTCCATCCTTGCTGAACAGCCTCCTACCCTACTGTCACACGTGGACACCGAAGAAGAACCCAGGCAGTTGAATTACGCTCCTGGCAAAGAATACCGAAAACACCACGGACTGCCAAACAAGCAAACAAATCTGCCTGGAGGAAGTACAACCAGCGTGCTCCTTAGAGGCACGGGTGGCGAGCCTTCCGTCTCACGTACTTCGGGGAGACCAGTCCCTGGAGAAGGCCCTCGTGCCTGTAAAGCGGAGAGGCAGCGGACCAGAGGGAAGACCCACCAGGAGATGGACGGACACAGGGCTCAGGCACAGGAACAGCGGTGAGGAGGGTGCAGGACGGGCAGTGGTTCCTTCTGTCATGCACGGGGTGGCTATGGGTCAGGGCCGACTGGACGGCACCTGCCCACCCTGCGGTACCAGCCCCTCACCTTGTGCACACATGCCCGGCGGCTCCCTTTCTGAGTGAAAAGTGGAGAACCATTTAGAGTCAAATACCAACTAAAGGACAGCCTTAAAAAAAAAATCCCAGGAAGAGTGACTCATGCCTGTGGAAACTCTAGCAGCCAGCTGGATAAACCCAGACAGATGCGGAGGATGGAGCACAGTGCGCCTGCCAGTGAGCAACTAAACAGGAGACAGGAACGAGGAAGTGGGAAGAGAGGGGCTCCTCCATCCTCTGAGGTTCACTAAGGATGATCTTCACCCTTGGGGCGGGATCCTTCCAGACAGGCTGAAGGCTCCACTGCAGATTGGCAGGCGGGGAGTACAGATGACCAGGTGGGAGAGGGGAGACTGGAGATTCTGGATTTCCAAGGGAGGGAGACACGGATAATCCAGAAATCCTGGCCACCACATGCCCATCCTCCAGGATCCCCCTTGCTGGCCGCACACAGTCCCCACCCACCACTGGAGGGTTTAGGAGCAAAGTTGACGTGGAGAGCAGGCAGCAGGGAAGGGGAGGAGTGGATGGGGACCAACTGTCTAGACAGCCTGGGCCCTGCTCTATGTGGCTTGCTGGGTCCTCCCCTTCTCAGTCCCTCCCGGACCTTTCATGTGGTCTGGCACTGTGGTCCCGGGTGGGGCAGCCTCGCCTCGGCCTCGGATTGGGATTCCTCCTCATGTCTTTGGTCCTGTTCCCAGTCCCACCCCTTGCTCTGTAGAGAAGAGGATTGTGTGGGACAAGGGACACGCCGAGGAGGTACTTGGTAGGAAGAGGGACAGAATCAGAAGTTGCATGCTCCCAGGGCCAGATCCCCAGGCGAAGGAAAGGTTGCCTCTGATTGCTGCCTGCTTCCCGCTCTGCCCCACCTCAGCATATTCCTGCTAGGAGAGCCTGTCACTGCCATCTCTGCTGTCCCGGAAGGGAGCCTGTCCACGTTGTCTGTGGCTGGGCACAGTGCCCAGCATGATGCTTCCGGAGCCTGGCCCAGAGCGGGCTCCTGGCTATTCCCAGGGTAGCTCTATTTTTAAGGGGAAGGTCCCCTCCACCAGAAGAACCCGACAGGAAATATGCCGCTCATATAGATGCCCACAGGTAGGCATCTGGCCAGCGAGTTCTCAGGTACACACAGTGGTACACACAGACACTGGGGACCACAGTCCTGAGCTCACCCCTGCCCTCCCACATGAACACGCTGATTCATAAACACAGGAAAGACCCAAATAGAGATGCACAAGCCCAGAGTCACAAACACATCTGGAGATACATAAACACACTTCTGGTTGCGCAGACTCCCAGAGATAGCACATGCACCCCGAGCCACCCAGTTTCCAGGGAAACGCACTCCCAAGAATGTCCGGAGTGGGGCCGGGCAGGGCTGGGCTTGGTGCCTTGCTCCAGAGATGAGACAAGGAAACCCTCATCTTCTGGAGCCCAAGGGAGGGGAGGCGGGGGGAAGAACACCCGTTCCTTTGTGCCTCTGCCTACCCCTCCCCAGGCTGCCAGCTTCGGCGACAGGCAAGCCCAGACAAGAAGGCTACGGGGGTGGTGAAGAGAAAAAGGGGAGGGGGCCACAGAAGAGTGGGCACATGCATACTTGGCAGGGTGGGCTTCTGACTGGGAAGGGTCACTGGGGCCACAAGAAATGCGAGAACTCCATCTTGGCTGCAGAAGCCCCCACCCAGGGAGTCCCATGATGCCTTGGGAAGACTGGGCAGAGAGGCACACAGAGCATCAGTCTCTCCCTCATGAATGACACGTGATTGGGGGCCAGGGGGTGTTAGGATGGGCTCTTTCTCCAGCGACAGTCTGCTGGATTGCTTCTTACACGCTTGGTCTTGTAACACCTACCAAGGGAGTGGGCGAGGTTATGCAAATGATGTGCTTGTGACCCACCCAGGCGATTGGCTAATTTGCTAATGCAAATAAGGGGCATGGTACCCTTGTAGGGGTGGGACCATATAAATAAGGTGTAATGGTAACCTAACAAGGAGATTGGTTAGTTTTGCCATCCTGTTGGGCTTAAAATGAGCCATGCCAGAGGGACCACAATACCACTAAGAAGCAATGGTAGCAGAGTATGCCCTTTGGAGCCAGGGCCTTTGTGCTGAGAAGCTCCTAGACCAGGGAGAAAGAGAACAAAAGAATGAAAAGAGGCCATGGGGAGGAGACCAGCCAGTCAGGGTGCAGTGTAGCAACGATGAAACAGACAACTTTCCTCTAGTTCCTAAATGCTTCCTCGCCCCCAACTATCATGATCCCAATTCTACCTTACAAATTCGGCTAGACCAGAGGATGTACATTGGTGCAGATAGGAACTGGAAACACAGGGAATCCAGGACAGATGGACCTTTCAGGACCAGTGGTGAGAGTGGCAATACCAGGAGGGGGGAGGGAAAGGGGAGGTAGAAAGGGGGAACCAATCACAAGGATCTACATATAACCCCTTCCCTGGGGGATGGGCAACAGAAAAGTGGGTGAAGGGGGACATTGGACAGTGTAAGACATGACAAAATAATAATAATTTATAAATTATCAAGGGTTCGTTAGGGAGGGGGGCAGGGAAGGAGGGGGGAAATGAGGAGCTGATATTTAGGGCTCACGCAGAGCCCTTTGAGAATGGTGAGGGCAACAAAGGTACAAATGTGCTTGACACATGGATGGATGTGTGGATTGTGATAAGAGTTGTACGAGCCCCCAATAAAAGGATTTAAAAAGAAAAAGAGGTGACAGAAATGGCAGTAGCAGCATGGCCATTGTGGTAGCAAAGGTACAATATTACTTAACGTGATTGGAGGATGAAAGTATCTGATATATGTACTAAATCCCAATTGATAAAACTAGAAGAAAAGAAACGGCAGCGGCAGCACCAGGAGACTAGGCGTGCCTACTCACAGAACGCAAGCGCTCGAGAGCCCTGAGCGTGGGGCTTCCTGGTGGAGTGGGATGCCTCCTGACACGTATCAGGGGAGCTCAAGAGCTCTGTCACAGGGCAGATGCCAGCTGACCCAAAGGGCCCAAGTGGTCAAGGAACTGGACAGCTGATGGCCAGGGGAGAAGCCTGCTGCTGGGCACAGCCAAGAAGCTGTCCTGACCAAAGAACTATATTTGGAGCTATTTCTGATCCTGAATTCTAACTGTTACTTCCCTAATAAGCCCCTAATGTGAGTATTGTCTGCGAGTTCTGTAGGGCCACTGCAAGGAACGGCTGAGCCCTGGAGAGACGCTGAGAGGGGCGTGAGAGGCTGGCAGGTGGGAGAAGCTTGGAGAGGGCCCACGTCCGATCTCCGCCTCATGGAAATCTGCTTCGGGATGATGTTGATGGTGACTTCCTCTTCCCCTCGTGGGGTTGGAGGGTGAACACTCCACCCCTCCATTCTTATCCCCAGCCTTCTCTGAACACTGTCGCCACCTCTCCTGGCTATTTCACTGCCCACCTTCCTCCCCCAGAAAAAAATTCTGGAGAAGATGCCATCTGTGAGACTTAAGAGGACCAGGTGACACTGCAGGCTCACCCCCCATTTATGCTCCTTCCTCCTCTCATGTGGGGTCAGAGACAGACCACCGGGAAGCCCTGGGAAAGGCCAGGGTCCTCCTGCTGCTGGTGCTGGGACACCACCTGTGTCCCACAGAGTGCAGGGAGAAGGAATATCTGGGATCAGCTGTGACGAAGGTTGCCCTGAAAGGCCCCACGGGATGTGAACAGAGAGGGAGGGGGCAGTGAAGGGGGGCTGGCTTCCATGTGAAGGAGTGTCGACAACCAATGCCAAATCACCTGTCAAGGCTTAGACCAAAGTTCCCACCGTCACATTAGCACCACCTCTAACCCCCCACCCACACCTGCTTTCGTCATTCCTCGTATGAACTGATAGCCAATCGTTTCTAGGGTGAATTTACCCACCTGTCAAAGACCCCTGAGCCACCCCCCTACCTCTCTGCTAACCATAGTAACAAGAGACCCCATTCTAAGCTACTAAACACAACAGAGTGGTCAGTGGCTTTGGAAACTGGGTGGATATTCAGGACCCCGGAGCTCCTGTCCCCAGCGTGTGACAGGATTGGACATGCCCTCAGAGGGTGCCCTGGCCTGGTCTCTCTCCCACCTCCTCAGCTTTTCAAAATGACTGCCTGAGGGTACCCAGGTTAATGGCTCTCCCCCATCCCTCACTGCCCAGGCCTTCGCCCACCAGGGGCACATGCCTTCTCTTCCTGCAGCGTGAGAGAGGCCAGGCTGGGGCTAACACGGGAAAAGCAGGCTGAAGACACATCTGGTCTTTGGAGGGGTTTGACAAGCTGTTGAGGCACATTCGGATGTACCTGGTACCCTACTCCGCAATGAGGCTGCCGAGCCAGTTGCTACGGCAACCACCACACCAGCCTCCCCCTGCATCCACTACACACAAGCTTCTAAACAGAAGCCCCCTGTGTTAGGGCACATCAAAGCTTACCCTGAGTGAGCCGGGTGGGCTGCCGGACAGGGAGCCCATCAATGGTGCAGGCATTGCCGCATGGGTAGAGGGTGAGGGTGCCCCGTAGGTTCTCGATGTAGCAGTGCTCTGCAGCCAGGCCCAGGCCCTGCAGTGAGATGTCCCTGGCCGCGGAGCCAATCACAGTCCTCCCTGGAGAAAGGAGGCAAACTGAGTCATCGGGCTTTGCCAGGCTGAGAAGGCGGGGGCAGGGTAAGGAGGGAGGGTCGTGGACGATGTGTATTTCCACCTCCTATTCCCCTGATGGGCCTCTGTGACTGGTCCAGGCAGACACACACACACACACTCTCTCTCTCTCTCTCTCTTCCCCCAGCAGAGCCCCAGGGACTAGTATTTGGAGAATGTGGGGAATGTAGTATCACTCTGACAACCAGAGAAGCCAGGAGCTGAGAGAGGGAGGGGAGGACGGCAGAAGCTGAAGCGGGGTGGTGATGGAGGGACTGTGCCAAGGTCTGAGCTTGGGAGCCTCCAGGGCAGCGGTTCTCAACCTGTGGGCCTTGACCCTTTGGGGATTCGAACTACCTTTTCACAGGGGTCGCCCAATTCATAACAGTAGCAAAATTACAGCTATGAAGTAGCAACGAAAGTAATATTATGGTTGGGGGGGGGTCACCACAACAGGAGGAACTGTATGAAAGGGTCCCCGCATGAGGAAGGCTGAGAACCACTGCACCAGGGGCAGGGCACTGCCCTAGAACAGGGCCCCCTTTCTCCTGGGCCAGAGTGGTTGCTAAAAGCGATGTGCTCCAACCTCCTTGATTCTGAACTGATCTCTAGTCCCAGCCAGGAAGCCAGATTACCCAGCCTGGGGGGCAGAGGCCAGGAGGGAGGCACCAAGAGTAGGTGGAGTAACCTCCCGTCCAGGAAAACGGAGTGTTGCTGGCAGACAGAAGCTGCCCCCCTCCCCCCCACTGGCATGTCATGTGCGGGCAGGAGCCTGGACTCCAGGTTAGGCCTGCTGACAAGGAGGGCATGGCCAGGCAGCCCCTATCAGCACTCACCTTCCTCCAGCGGCAGGAGAGTGATGGCCGTGCTGAGCCGCCCACTGCCCAGGCTCACCAGGTGGGGCTTGTCCGTCTGCACTTTCAGCCCTTGGCCTGTCTCAATCAGGTCCAGGGGTCCCTTCTGCAGGTAGTGGGGGTGGGGGATGAGCATTGTGAGAGAGCTCCAGTCAGCAGAGCCTGAGCCCCACACCACCAGCCACACCTCGCTCCAGGGTGCAGAGGGCTCCAAGAGGCAGAAAGAGTTAGCACCAACTGGCAGATGCCCCGCCCCTCCCTGAGCTCCCAATTAGATCTGAATCTGGGCCACTAACTGGTCTCCCTAGATTTAGCTCAAATCTTGGTTTAACTGTCCCTTTTGTTTTTCAGGTCAGAAATCAGGGGAACATAGGGAGTTGGGTGCTGAGATGCTGAGGAAGGAGAATGGGGTGCCACCCCAAACCCACTGCCCATGAGTCATTCCCACTCAGGACAGAGTAGCACAGCCCCATTGGGGTCAAGCTGTAAGTCTGTATCGACGCACATGGGACGGGAAATCAGGGGTGCGGGGTTGATGAGAGCTTTGAACTGTTGAGCACAAAGTTGATGTTTTGAAAGTTACCCCCCCCTCATCCCCCACCTAATGCACAATGAAAAATTCATTGAACAGGAAGACAATCTTTACAGAAGCAGACTGCCACGTCTTTCTCCCACAGAACGGCTGGTGGGTTCAAACTGCTGGTTTTTCAGTTTGCAGCTGGGTACTAACCACTACACCACCAGGGATCCATGGGAGAGGGGCAGTGAGCTCCTGGTAGACCTATCTGTCCTGGGAACCCATTGGTCACAGATGGCCCCTGCCACACTGAGTCCCAGCAGAGGGCGGGAGGATGGACCTGGGAGGGTGAAGCTGCTCCAGCTCACCCTATAAGCCGCTTCCTGGCTTTCAGAGGGTATTTTCTGGGTGAGCCAATTAACCTGAATCAGATAAAGCCTGAGCCCTTAATAGGCTTGGGGCCTGGGGAAGGGCAGAGAGGGACAGAACCACTGCGCTCATCCCAGGGCTGGGACCTCTGGGCAGAAGGACTGAGCAGAGTGGACCCTCTTCTCCTAGCCTTGCCCCCTCCGTCCCCCACCGCTGCAGCCCTTTGCTGCCCGCCACACCCCGCCTGCCCCAAGGCAAGTACCAACCCCGTTTACCTGTGCCATGGCCTGCATCTGGCGTCCAGGGCCTACCTGCTTCCTGTCCATCGTTCTGGGGCTCCGGCGCACCTAGGAACACCGCAGAAAGCAAGTGAGGCAGGGAGGGGAGGGCTGAAAGGGGCAGGAGTGGGCTTCCCAGGGCAAAGGCAGCCCCCCTCCCCCCATGCTGAAGGGAAAGTGGAGGTAGCTCAGGGGCTTCCCCACAGGAAAGGCAGGTGGGTGCCGGGTGGGTCTTCAGCCAGAGCAAGGTTGCCATACCCCACCCATCCTGGCCCTTGCCACCCTAAGCACAAAAAACACTCTATGTGGCCCAGCCTGGACCGGTGCCCCGTCTAAGAGTCTGAAGTCAGGACTTGGCAGCTTTGGTGGGAGAAGCAGAGCGGAGGCCCAGTGCTGGGTCGCTGGCAGGCAGAGGGCCCTCAGGTAGGTGTAGATCTGAGACACAGCTCTCTCCCAGGGCTGGCTCCCTTTGTCTCTTTTCCCAGGGGTCTCCATAGGATGTTTTCTTAAAGGAGACAAACCAGCAGAGCCCAGCTACTCCCACGCCCCACATCTCAGCTCCCACCTCTCCTTTCACCTGAACTCCCTCAGCCCCAGCCCCACCCAAACAGCTAAGGAGCAAGTAGACGAAACCCCCACGGGGTCAAAGAACCTCGACAGGCCACCCTATCTGCAGCGACGCAAACTGTTCGTGGAAAACCTCCATTATCTTCTCATTCCGTTTCCCTAGACCAGCGGTTCTCAACCTGTGGGTCTTGACCCCTTCACAGGGGTCGCCCGATTCATAACAGTAGCACAATGACAGTGATGAAGTAGCAAGGAAAAGAATTTTATGGTTGGGGGGGGGGTCACCACCACATGAGGAACTGGATTAAAGGGTCGCGGCATTACGAAGGTTGAGAACCACTGCCCTAGACCCTTCTGAAGTTCCCCCACAGGTGTCCATAGTTGGAGTTAGGGAGTACTTAAAGAATTAAACTCATAGCGAGACCGTACAGAATAAAGCGGCACCTGCCGCCTGGGGTTTCCAAGGTCGGCCACCTGACCTCCATGGCAGCCACCGGGCAGCCTCATCTTCCCCCTGTGGAGGGTATGAGGCACCCAGCACTGTAAGGCCAGGGCGCCTCCTGAAGGACTACGTTTAAAAAACAACAGAAACAGAGCCAACCACTGCCATCCCATCGAGTGAGCCCACGCTGCCTCATGGCACAGGCAGAGCTGCCCCTGCCAGTTTCTGAGACTGTCACTCTCCACGGGAGTAGTGAGTCCCCGCTTTCTCCAGAGGAGCAGCCGGTGGTTTCAAGCTTCGGACCTTAGAGGTTACAGCCTAATGCACAAGCACTACTCCACCTGGGCTCCAGTCTTGAAGGAGTAACAGTAACAATAGAAAGGATACTATGTAGCTAATACATTTTGGGGTGGTTTGCTGCTGACCCCCTGTCGTTGGATGTAAAATTGAAATCCACAATAGGGGTCCATTTGATCTTCCGGTTGTTTCTTTCTTTGTTAATGGGTTATTCTATTCTTGTCAGGAGCGGAGCTGCCGTCTGATCCCACAGGCACCAGCTTGAAATCGCCAGCAGCTGCGTGGGAGGAAGATGGGGCTTTTTACTCCTGTAACAGTTACGGTCTCAGAACCCCACAGGGCGGTCGGTCCCTAATGGGCATGAACTTGATGGCAGTGAGTTTATGGTCATTAGGAAGGAACCACTCGGAAAAGGGGCGTGAGAAGGCGTCTACCCAGTAGGAGCCTTGGAGAGACTCCCCAGTAATGTCTGTGGCCCTGGCAATGACCGAGTGAATGGAACACCCACAGTCCCTGCCTGACAGATGTTTCCGACTCAGAGCGACCCTAAATCAAGCCGCCGAGTCCTCTTTCTCTTTCAGAGCAGCTAGTGGCCTGGAGCCACTCACCATGTGGTTAGTCGTCCAACCCAGTGGCCAGCCCACAGGGCCCCAGGCTCCAAAGATGTACTCAGAGCAAACAAGCACATGCACTGCCACAGAGTCCACACGGACTCATCGTGACCCTGCAGAGCTGCGGTTCTCAACCTGTGGGCCTTGACCCTTTGGGGATTCGAACTACCTTTTCACAGGGGTCGCCCAATTCATAACAGTAGCAAAATTACAGCTATGAAGTAGCAACGAAAGTAATATTATGGTTGGGGGGGGGTCACCACAACAGGAGGAACTGTATGAAAGGGTCCCCGCATGAGGAAGGCTGAGAACCACTGCACCAGGGGCAGGGCACTGCCCTAGAACAGGGCCCCCTTTCTCCTGGGCCAGAGTGGTTGCTAAAAGCGATGTGCTCCAACCTCCTTGATTCTGAACTGATCTCTAGTCCCAGCCAGGAAGCCAGATTACCCAGCCTGGGGGGCAGAGGCCAGGAGGGAGGCACCAAGAGTAGGTGGAGTAACCTCCCGTCCAGGAAAACGGAGTGTTGCTGGCAGACAGAAGCTGCCCCCCTCCCCCCCACTGGCATGTCATGTGCGGGCAGGAGCCTGGACTCCAGGTTAGGCCTGCTGACAAGGAGGGCATGGCCAGGCAGCCCCTATCAGCACTCACCTTCCTCCAGCGGCAGGAGAGTGATGGCCGTGCTGAGCCGCCCACTGCCCAGGCTCACCAGGTGGGGCTTGTCCGTCTGCACTTTCAGCCCTTGGCCTGTCTCAATCAGGTCCAGGGGTCCCTTCTGCAGGTAGTGGGGGTGGGGGATGAGCATTGTGAGAGAGCTCCAGTCAGCAGAGCCTGAGCCCCACACCACCAGCCACACCTCGCTCCAGGGTGCAGAGGGCTCCAAGAGGCAGAAAGAGTTAGCACCAACTGGCAGATGCCCCGCCCCTCCCTGAGCTCCCAATTAGATCTGAATCTGGGCCACTAACTGGTCTCCCTAGATTTAGCTCAAATCTTGGTTTAACTGTCCCTTTTGTTTTTCAGGTCAGAAATCAGGGGAACATAGGGAGTTGGGTGCTGAGATGCTGAGGAAGGAGAATGGGGTGCCACCCCAAACCCACTGCCCATGAGTCATTCCCACTCAGGACAGAGTAGCACAGCCCCATTGGGGTCAAGCTGTAAGTCTGTATCGACGCACATGGGACGGGAAATCAGGGGTGCGGGGTTGATGAGAGCTTTGAACTGTTGAGCACAAAGTTGATGTTTTGAAAGTTACCCCCCCCTCATCCCCCACCTAATGCACAATGAAAAATTCATTGAACAGGAAGACAATCTTTACAGAAGCAGACTGCCACGTCTTTCTCCCACAGAACGGCTGGTGGGTTCAAACTGCTGGTTTTTCAGTTTGCAGCTGGGTACTAACCACTACACCACCAGGGATCCATGGGAGAGGGGCAGTGAGCTCCTGGTAGACCTATCTGTCCTGGGAACCCATTGGTCACAGATGGCCCCTGCCACACTGAGTCCCAGCAGAGGGCGGGAGGATGGACCTGGGAGGGTGAAGCTGCTCCAGCTCACCCTATAAGCCGCTTCCTGGCTTTCAGAGGGTATTTTCTGGGTGAGCCAATTAACCTGAATCAGATAAAGCCTGAGCCCTTAATAGGCTTGGGGCCTGGGGAAGGGCAGAGAGGGACAGAACCACTGCGCTCATCCCAGGGCTGGGACCTCTGGGCAGAAGGACTGAGCAGAGTGGACCCTCTTCTCCTAGCCTTGCCCCCTCCGTCCCCCACCGCTGCAGCCCTTTGCTGCCCGCCACACCCCGCCTGCCCCAAGGCAAGTACCAACCCCGTTTACCTGTGCCATGGCCTGCATCTGGCGTCCAGGGCCTACCTGCTTCCTGTCCATCGTTCTGGGGCTCCGGCGCACCTAGGAACACCGCAGAAAGCAAGTGAGGCAGGGAGGGGAGGGCTGAAAGGGGCAGGAGTGGGCTTCCCAGGGCAAAGGCAGCCCCCCTCCCCCCATGCTGAAGGGAAAGTGGAGGTAGCTCAGGGGCTTCCCCACAGGAAAGGCAGGTGGGTGCCGGGTGGGTCTTCAGCCAGAGCAAGGTTGCCATACCCCACCCATCCTGGCCCTTGCCACCCTAAGCACAAAAAACACTCTATGTGGCCCAGCCTGGACCGGTGCCCCGTCTAAGAGTCTGAAGTCAGGACTTGGCAGCTTTGGTGGGAGAAGCAGAGCGGAGGCCCAGTGCTGGGTCGCTGGCAGGCAGAGGGCCCTCAGGTAGGTGTAGATCTGAGACACAGCTCTCTCCCAGGGCTGGCTCCCTTTGTCTCTTTTCCCAGGGGTCTCCATAGGATGTTTTCTTAAAGGAGACAAACCAGCAGAGCCCAGCTACTCCCACGCCCCACATCTCAGCTCCCACCTCTCCTTTCACCTGAACTCCCTCAGCCCCAGCCCCACCCAAACAGCTAAGGAGCAAGTAGACGAAACCCCCACGGGGTCAAAGAACCTCGACAGGCCACCCTATCTGCAGCGACGCAAACTGTTCGTGGAAAACCTCCATTATCTTCTCATTCCGTTTCCCTAGACCAGCGGTTCTCAACCTGTGGGTCTTGACCCCTTCACAGGGGTCGCCCGATTCATAACAGTAGCACAATGACAGTGATGAAGTAGCA